TTTTTTCTTTGCTTGGAACAACAAAACACAAAAAATAACAATAAAATATTTCTACAACTTGATGTTACAGCTGGCCACAATTCAAATTTCAATATAATTATTGAGGGAGGATTTTTCTAGTGACTCACAGAGCAGCATTTAAATGATTCTTTGGATTTTTAGTATGAAATTATTATTTTATTTTATTCTTAAATTTATTTTTTTTACTCCTCAGGTGCTCTGTAACAGAGCAAGATTGGTCACCTACCTCCCAGGCTTTTATTCCTTGCTCAGAAGAGTTGGGAATGCCAAGGCTTTTTCCACTGCAGGATCTTCTGGCTCAGATGAGCCTCACGTGGCTGCTGCACCTCCTGATTTATGTAAGAAAAAGCAAATTTATTCCCTTGAAATCCCAATTTGGAAGTGGGATTTTTGACTTGGTAGAGGAGAAAAATCAAATTTATGAAAAAAAAATCAAATTTATGATAAAAAAATGCACATTTAGAAAAAAGAAAAAGCAAATTTGTTCCCTCGAAATCTGAATTCAGAATGGGGATTTTTGACTTGGTAGAAGAAACAAAGCCTATTTAAGGAAAAAAAAAAGCACATTTAAGGAAAACACATATAGAAAAAAGTAAATTTATTCCCTTGAAATCAGAATTTAGAAGTGGGATTTTTGACTTGGTAGAAAAGAAAAAACAAAGTTAGAAAAAAGAAAAAGCAAATTTTTTCCCTTGAAATCCAAGTTTTGGAAGAGAGATTTTTGACTTGGTAGAAAAGCAAATTTATGAAGAAAAAGCACATTTAGAAAATGGAAAAAGCAAATTTATTCCCTTGAAATCCCAATTTGGAAGTGGGATTTTTGACTTGGTAGAAGGGAAAAAAGTAAATTTCAGAACAAAAAGCAAATTTAAGTAGAAAAAAAGCAAATTTATTCCCTGAAAATCTGAATTTGACTTGATTGAAAAGAAAAGCAAATTTAAGAAGAAAAAGCACATTTGGAAAAAAAGAAAAAGTAAATTTATTCCCTTGAAATCCCAGATTTGAAGTGGGATTTTTGACCTGTGCGTTGCTGATGTTTGTGATCAAATCCTTGTGTGGCAGAGGGGTTTCCCTGCTGGTTTGGGGATTTCCAGACCATTTTTGGGGTTTCCCTGACCAGTTTTGGGGTTCCCTGACCGGTTTTGGGCTGTCCCGACCATTTTTGGGGTCCCCTGACCATTTTTGAAGTTTCCCTGAGCGGTTTTGGGCTTTGCTGAGTGGTTTTGGGATTTCCCGACCATTTTTGGGGTTTCCCTGACGAGTTTTGGGGTTTCCCGACCGTTTTTGGGGCTTCCCAGCCATTTTTGGAGCTTCCCAACCAGTTCTGGGGTTCCTTGACCGTTTTTGAGGTTCCCTGACCATATTTGAGGTTTCCTGGCCATTTTTGAAGTTTCCCTGACCGGTTTTGGGGTTTCCCTGACCGGTTTTGGGTTTCCTGACTAGTTGGGGATTTCCCTGACAGGTTTTGGGGTTTCCCTACCACTTTTGGGATTTCCCAGCCCTTTTTGGGATTTCCCAACCGGTTTTGCGTTTCCCTGACCATTTTTGGGGTTTCTCTGACCGGTTTTATCTTTTCTGTCTGGTTTGGGATCTCCCTGGCTGTTTTTTGGGATTTCCTGACGGGTTTTGGGGTTTCCTGACCGCTCTGGGTTTCCCGGTCCCTCAGGTCCCAGGACGGTGTGGCCGGACGAGCTGATGGGGCCCTTTGGCCCTCAGGACCAGCGCTTCCAGCTGCCCGGGAACATCGGCTTCGGGTGCCACCTGCATGGCACTGCCACGCAGAGAGCCCAGCCCGCCCAGAGCCTGCCCGACCTCCTGGCCGAGCCCTCGGCCAGCGACAGGCACGAGTTTGTCATGGCCCAGTACATCAACGAGTTCCAGGTGAGGGCAAACCCTGCACGGGAGAGGCACCGCTCTGCTCCTCCTCCTCGGGAAACACAGCTGTCTTCTTCCTCAGGGAGCACAACTGTTCCTCCTCGGGAAGCACAGCTCTGCTCTTCCTCCTCGGGAAGCACAGCTCTGCTCTTCCTCCTCAGGGAGCACAGCTCTGCTCTTCCTCCTCAGAAAGCACAGCTCTGCTCTTCCTCCTCCGGAAGCACAGCTCTGCTCTTCCTCAGGAAGCACAGCTCTCTTCTTCAAAAAGCACAGCTGTTCTTCCTCAAGAAGCACAGCTCTCTTCTTCATCAAAAAGCACACCTCTCTTCTTCATCAAATTGTGTTCTTTCTGCACAATGTTCTGCCACAGAAACTGCCTCAAGTTGGTGTTTTAGGAGAAAAAGATTTCAGGCTGGTTTGAAACAGCATTTTAGGAGTGGTTAATGGGAGGATTTCAGTCTCCAAACCTGCTGTTGGACAAGTCTCACCTCCTTTTACCCAGGAAAATTGAAATGTCTTTCAGTATTTTATTGAATGGATCTGGATTTGCAAAGTTTGGGCAATATTTAGTTCTAAAAACCACAAAATTCACAGGGGAATCCCCCAATCTCACAATGAGAGGTTCATCATTGTAAAATTGAAATCTCCTTCAGTGTTTTATTGAATGGATCTGGTTTTGCAAACTCTGAGCAATGTTTAGTTCTAAAAATCATATTCATGTGGAATTCACACCAGGAATCCCCCAGCCTCATAATGAGAGGATTCTGGCAGCCTGATTCATATTCATCATTATGAATATACCCAGTAAAATTGAAATTTCCCTCAGTATTTTATTTCATGGATCTGGATTTGCAAAGTTTGGGCAGTGTTTCGTTCTAAAAATCATGAAATTCACTCAGGAATCCTCCAATTTATAATAATCCCCCCTCTCATTATGAGAGGATTCTGGCAGTGTTCCAGATTCATCAGTATGAATACACCCAGTAAAATTGAAATTTCCCTCAGTATTTTATTTCATGGATCTGGATTTGCAAAGTTTGGACAATGTTTAGTTCTGAAAGCCATGAAATTCACCCAGGAATCCCCCAACCTCACAATGAAGATTCATCATTGTAAAACTGAAATTTCCTTCAGTATTTTATTTCATGGATTTGCTAAGTTTAGGCAATGTTTAGTTCTAAAAATCATGAAATTCACCCAGAAATCCCCCAGCCTCACAACGAGAGAATTCTGGCAGCCATTCAGATTCATCATTATGAATATAATAAAAATAGAATACAATTCTTAATAAAATTATTTTAAATAAAATTTTAAACAAACCAATTGTTGATTAAAATATTAAAATAATAATAAAATAATTAAAAAAATCAGTTTATAATGGCAGAATGATGCCAACATTCCCTCAGATTTTCAGTGCTGCTGCCTCAGCTTTGCAGGCTCCGGCTTTGGGGAATGCTCAGGTTTTGGGATTCACTGAGAAAATCTCCATTGGAAAGTGCTGGATCCTGGATTTTGGGAATGAGTCATTGTGTCCCAAAGATTTGGGAAATATCAGCTCCCCAGGTTCTGGCTGCAGCTTGGTTGGATCCTAAAAAGCCCCAAAGAAAAGGGCTTTTTTTGCCCTAAAAAGCCACCAGAAAATTCTGCTGTAGTTAATTTAGTGCAACTTTTAGAATCAGGGAATAGCCGAAATCTGTCAGTTAATGTTGTATTAAATAAGAATTATTTGAAATAATAAATAAAAATTTCTGTGTTTATATATTTATGTGTTATATTCTGTGTTTATATTACATATAATACTATTTGTTTATATGTATTCTGCTTTAACATAATACAGTTCCAATAAAACAGAAAATTTTGGTATTTCTGTAAAATACAAATATTTCTGTGTGGATTTAAGTTAACACCAAAATCTATTTTACTTTTCATATATTTTAATATCTCTTTTCATATATTTTCAGATTTTAAATAACTTTTAGTAACATTCAATATTGTTAATAATATTATTTCAGTGTTTAATTTGAAAAGTGTGAAGTGCCACTGCAAATGACCTGAAACTGCTCGAGTGTATCTGATCACTCAACCCTGTTTTGATGTCCAGAGTTATTCCTGCTTGATACTAACTGAGAAAATTCGAATTTTCCCATTTTTTAGGGTTCTGATGCTCCCCAGAAGCAGCAGATCAACAATGCTGAAACCTACTTTGAAAATGCCAAGGTGGAATGTGCAGTGCAAGCCTGTCCTGAGCTGCTGAGAAAAGGTTCAGTTTTATTTCCAGCCAAGAAATTCAACTTGAAATGTAAAACCACTGAATGTCAGTGTGGTGTAGGAAAGGTTAATTCAGAATTAATCATTATTTACAAAAATCCCTTTGGACAGAATGGAAACCAATTGCTGTTTGCAATATTTAATTTTTTAAATTTTAAAATATATTTTTATATTTGCTGTTGACAGTATTTAATATTTAATTTAAAATGTAATTTTTAGTTGTTGTATTGGGATATTTTGGAGTGAATTCCTTATCCAAAACCCATTTACCAAATCCTTTGAAATTACTAAATAAAACAACAAATGGGAATCAGGAAACTTCTGCCAGTACTAAATTTGTGTTTTTAATTTATTCAGGAAGGAAATGACTGAAATTAAATGGGAATAAAACAGAGTAGAATGGAAGCCAAAGCTTTGCTGCTGACAATAGTCAATATTTCATTTAAAGTGTAATTTTTAGTTGTTTTATTGGGAAATTCTGGAGTAATTCCTTATCCAAAATCCAATTACCAAATCCTTTGGAGTTACTAAATAAAACAACAATGGGAATCATGGAACTTCTTCCAGCACTGAATTTCTGTTTTTAGTTTATTGAGGAAGGAAATGAGCGAAATTTAATGGGAACCATTTAATTAAATAAGAAATAGAAATTATAAAAATAAATTATCAATTGATTTCCCAAGGGGACCGTGCCTGGGTGTGCCTGGGGGGAGGCTCCCGTGGCAGGGCAGCACAAACTCCGCTTTTCCCACTGTTCAGATTTCCAGGCGCTGTTCCCGGAGGTGAGCCCCAAGCGCCTGACCGTGCTCACTGTCACCCAGAAGAGCAAACACGACATGAGCGTGTGGAGCCAGGAGGTGGAGGAGGAGAGGGAGCTGCTCCTGGAGAACGTGAGCTCCTTCAAAAAACCCAATCTTACTCCTGAAGCTTTGCTGCCTTTCCAGGGTTTGATTTGTATTTCAAAAATTCTTATATTCTATATTACATTCTATATGCAAATGATATAGATCTATATCACCTTTAGGCATTACTTTTAAAATATCATTTATAATACAATTCTATTATTCATTATTAATTATCATTTACTATTTAAAATTCCACTGCACTTTTATACCGATCAAAAATGTAAAAACCACCGATTTTTCTTGGATTTTTTCCACTTTAATGAATGGTTTAAATTCTTTTTACCCTGGATCTCAGTTCTGTTTTTTCATCTTAACTTTGGCTTGTTCTTTCACCTCTAGAGGGCTCTGAAAATCCCTTTATTTCCCATTTTCCACAATTTTACCATTTCCCCACCAAGTGTCGCTGTTCACTGCCCTTAGCACCTCAAAAAAAAAGAACATTTCTGCCTATTCTTTGTAAAATATCCCCAAACCCAGCAATTCATCTGGAAATAAATCATATTTATGCTTGAAATTGATCTGGCAATGCCCTAAAATGCAAATGTGTGCTCTCTAAATCAACCACGAAAAAAGGAATCAACACAAGATGACACAGAAATTAAAATTCCCTTCATTTCAGTGTGTTCTTCTCTTTGAATTCTTTCTGGCCTGTTGCTCTTCGGTGTTTTAATCTGCTCTAATTATGTGTTAATTGGCATCTTTCTTCCTCAGGCACCTCCCTGTCAAGTCTAATCCAGTCACAGGGGGGTGTGAGGTTAAAACCAGCAAATTCACAGGGAAATGTTGGTTTGCTTGCAGAATTCACCTGAAAAATCCTCATTTCAGGAGCTAAAAAATGAGGTTATACAGCCCAATAGAAATATTTGCATTAATCCAGATCAAGTGTTCATTAACCTCACTCTGAGGGACCAGGAGACATCCTGGATCAGAAATGTTGTGCCTAAAATTGGGATGTTTGGGATTTAATTTACAGTTTGGACATAATTAATCATCAGAGCCATCAAACTTCAAAACACAGAATTTACTGGGGTAAATTTTCCTTATTGTGAACCAATACAGAATTTACTGTAAAGGATAAAATTCCCTCATTTTGTATTGAAAAGGATAAATTTTCCTTATTTTGAACTAACACAAAATTTCCTGTAAATTCTCTTATTTTGAATTTAGTAAAAATAAAAATTTTCTCTTTTAGTAAATTCTCTTATTTTTAATTAATACCAACTTTATTGTCAAGGGTAAATTTCCCTCATTTTAAACTAAAACAGAATTTGCTGTAAAGGGTAAAATTCCCTTATTTTGAGCTAATATAGAATTTATTGTAAAGGATACATTTTCCTTATTTTGAACTAACACACAATTTACTGTAAAGGGGTAAAATTCCCTTATTTTGAATTAATAATTTATTGTAAAGGGTCAATTTCCCTCATTTTAAATTAATACAGAATTTGCTGTAAAGAGTAAAATTGCCTCATTTTGAACTAACAAAGGATTTACTCTAATGGGTAAATTCCCTTTATTTTGAACTAATACAGAATTTAAAGGGTAAATTCCCTCATTTTCAACTAACACAGAATTTGCTGTAAAGGGTAAATTTCCTTTATTTTGGACCTTTAAGGGACTGAAGCTGCATAAATCATATTTTTATAAATTTGGAACCTTGAGCTTCTTAGGGCACTAATTGCAGAGAAAATCCAATTTTTTTACAACTGTAAGTAAATAGATTATTTTATTTATAACGTGTAAAGTTAGAAATAATTCTTTTTGTGTGATAACCTCATTTAATAGCTTTCTTTTCCCAATTTTTTTCCCTTCCAGTTCATCAATGGTGCCAAGGAAATCTGCTATGCAATTTCTTCTGAGGGCTACTGGGCTGATTTCATTGATCCATCCTCAGGACTGGCAGTAAGTTCTTTCTTGCAGTGTGGAATTTGGCTTAAATCCAGCTTTTTCAGGGTAATTCCTTGAATGAATGAAGATTTATGAGCTCAGCTGTGTCAGCTCTGAGGGCAGGGCCAGCATTGTCAGGAAATGAAATTGGTTTTTAGGGAACTGGAGAAGTTTTGTGCCCCAAATCCCTTGGGCACTTTCTGCCCTGCCCAGGTAACTTGGGAACCCTGACACCTGTGCAGGTGAAGGCTTTAAAAAACCTCTTTGCACCTGTTAATGATCCCTTTGTCCCCAAAAAATGAGCTTTTTGTTCCTGTGGAACACTGGGAGCTTTCAGTGGGAGATGAATTTTAGTCTGAGCTCTGCTAAAACCGTATCATAGTTCAAGGGGACGGTGGCAAAGCTCAGCTTAGTGGGGTTTTATTTAAAAACACTACAAAAAGCAGGGATTTATTGTGTCAACAGAGGCAAGCAGGGGATGTCTGTAAGGCAGAACAGGCAGGTCAGGGGTGGAAAGGCTTCCCAGAATTCAGTGCATTGGAGGAATTAGGGATTGATGGAAGTGGGGTTTTGTCTTCAGATTCCAGCAGTAACATCCTGGCCGGGACCAGGAGTGGGTTTGAAGTCAGAGGCTTCCTCCTGAGATAAAGAACTGAAATATCTGTGTGCAGCTTAAATACCAGTTCAATTTAAATACCAGTTCAATTTAAATACTTAGATACTAGTTTAATTTAAATATCTGTTTACAACTCAAATACCAGTTTAATTTAAATACTTAAATACCTGTTTAATATAAATACCTGTTTGCAATTTAATCACATTTTTGCTTTTCTAACCAACTTTCTTTAGGGTTTTATTGCAAAGTGAAGCTGTTAATTTTGCAGTTTCCTAGGAAGTTTCTCTCCTTAGTGCTGCTTGTGCTGTTTCTGGCAGAGTTCTGCCCTTAATTCCTGCAGAGACAGCAGAACTTCCCAAAGGTGAGGGTGGCATTGGGATTGGAAAGGAAAACCTTTCAAACTCCTCACATCTGAACTCAGGCTTAGCTTTCAAACATCCATCAAAACTTGAAATCCTCACGTGGAAAACCATTTTTTCCCTTGTTGTTTTCCTTTAGTTTTTCGGGCCTTACACCAACAACCCCCTGCTGGAGACGGACGAGCGCTACCGGCACTTGGGATTTGCCGTGGATGACCTGGGCTGCTGCAAAGTGATCAGGCACAACCTCTGGGGCACCCACGTGCTGGTGGGCAGCATCTTCACCAACGCCGAGCCCGACAGCCCCATCATGAGGAAACTCAGTGGCAACTGAGCCCGCAGCTCCCTCGGGCAGCTTCGAGTTCTTCTCCCTCGGCGTCGTCAGGAATTCCTCACATCCAAGTGTTCTTAGAGAATAAAAGTAGCTGTTATTTATTTCTGGTCTTTGGGGAGTGTGTGCTCACCACACGTGGCTTGGAGTATGGATTGGCAGCGTTGAGAAGCAGAGGAATGGTTGTTTCCTTTTTGAGTTTTCTGTTTTCTCTTACCTCGACAATTCTGTCTTTCACTGGTCGATTTAGCAGTCAGAATCCTCTGAAAATGCCACTGAAATTCCCAACAAATCTGCCGTTCCTGAAATTAGGAACTGGCAAAAAAAAAAAGGAATGAGTCATAAAATTGTTCTTCCAGAATACAGAACTTAATAAAATCTGGGCTAATCACTCAGTTGCTGTTGGAAAATGAGAATGAGGTCAGCTTCCAGTGGTCTCCAGCTCAGCCAGAGACTCCACAAAAAGTCCTTAATTACCCTGGAATTACTCATCTCTTATTGTTTTTTGTCTTCATGGTGCTTGGGATTTATTTTCTCAGTGTTAGCTAAATATATTTAATTAGTTTATATACTTATATGTAATTTCAAGTTGCTTTTGTAACTTTCTTAGGTCATTAAATACAAAAAAAAAGAGGTAATGGGGCAAAGCTTGGATCTCATCATTGTTTTCCTGTACTTTGATGCAATCTATACTTGCCTCTGGAATTTGGAAATGCAAAGAGCAATTAGGATCAATTATTGCAATTAGAAAGATGTTTCAACAGGAAGGTTCCAGGCTCCTCAGGTCTCACAAACAATCAGATCAATGGGGCAGGAGTTCCAAGGCTCCTGAAACACCTGGAATTTCAGTGCCTTGCACTTTGGCTCTGGGGCTGAAGCAATAAAGCAGATTTGGATCTCATCCCAGGCAGTTTGGGGCCATTTTTCATGGAGCAATGGGAATCCTGCAGGCTTTATTCCATGGGAATGTGCTGCACCTCAGTCTGGGTGAGGATCCAGGGATTTTGATTTGATCTTTGGTTTTATCCCAGGCAGTTTGGAGCCATTTTTCATGGAGCAATGGGAATCCTGCAGGCTTTATTCCATGGGAATGTGCTGCAGCTCAGTCTGGGTGAGGATCCAGGGGTTTTAACTTTGGTGTTATCCCAGGCAGTTTGGAGCCATTTTTCATGGAGCAATGGGAATCCTGCAGGCTTTATTCCATGGGAATGTGCTGCACCTCAGTCTGGGTGAGGATCCAGGGATTTTGATTTGATCTTTGGTTTTATCCCAGGCAGTTTGGAGCCATTTTTCATGGAGCAATGGGACTCCTTCACGCTTTATTCCATGGGAATGTGCTGCAGCTCAGTCTGGGTGAGGATCCAGGGGTTTTGACTTGATCTTTGGTGTTTTCCCAGTGTTATCCAACCCCATGGATCCCAGACCTGTCCCAGGCTCTAAGCCAGGCCCACCAAAGCTTTTCTGGCTTTAGGAGCAGCTCCCTGACCAAGTGCCTCTCTCTGTTCCTGTCACCACTGCACTGCCATGGCCTGGCTGGATCACAGAGCTGCGAGCCAGGAACTCTTCCCAAAGTTTCCATTCCCAATTCCCAAATTCTCCTGCTCCCCTGCAGTGCTGGCTCTGGATTTTGAGGCAGGAATTTTTGCTGTGATGGCAGAGCCCATCCCTGACCTCTGCTCTCCATAAAGTCTCTGGTTTATGGGTTTTATTCCTGATTTTTTTTTCCCTCCTTTTCATCAAGAGGATTAAAGAATTTGAGACCTGCAGTGTGTTGTGTCTGTTTGCAAAATCCACACAGGAGGGCTCTCACTGGACACTTGTGGGGATTTGCTTGGATAAATATTGGAAAAATGGTGGAATTCTTCACATAAATTGTAAATACCTTGAAGATTTGATGTGTTATCTTCAGCTGGCTTCCTGTAATTCCAGTTAAGCTTGGGATGTTCATTTTTGACTTCAGGTTCTTGAAGTTCTGTCCAGTAAAGGACATAAAAAGCCATTTTCCAGTGGCTTTTCCTGAGGCAGAAATCTCACTGGAATATTGGGAATTTTGCCTTGACCTCATGAATATTAATATTTTATGTCAGGGTTTGAGGGGAGCTCCAGTTCCTGATATTTTCCTAATTAGAATTTTCTCATTAATCCCCAAAACCAGCTGGATCTGTTCCAGTTGTGTTTTCCTCCTGTCACAAGAGCCAGCCTGAACTTTCTCCTAGAAAATCAAACTTCTGGAATACAAAATAAAATAAACTACAATAAACTAATAAGAATAGTAATATCAATAATTAATAACAATAATTATAATAAAATGTTAAAGTAGCAAATCCCAAAAAAAGTTTTCAGCCAGTGCAAAGAGGATTGCTGATGCTGAGGTGCAGCGTTCACAGCTAATTATCTCTGCTTAGCTAATTAACACCAGGGGAAATATTCTGGGATGGATCTGGAGGATTCTGTTCCAGATTTTCTCCTCAGCCCCCTGGGAGTTCATTGCTTTATTCCTGATGTGCTCCTGCAGCAAGTGCAGGATTTCCATTTATATTTTTATATATAAATACATATTTATATCTATTTTTATTAAGCTGTGCTTAGCATGGGAGAGAGCAAATAAACTGACACTAAAAAAAAAAAAAATCAAATTAATTCTCTACAGTCTGCCAGGTGGAGGGAGTAAAAATCCTACAGAAAAATGTGGGAAAAATCATTTGGAAAAATCAGTGTCCAGTGCTTGATACTCAAATAATTGGGGACTGGAAATAGAGGATTTATTTCTGGAAGGATTTGTGGGATCCAAGAGAACTCTGGGATTTCCTGCTGCACTGAGGGGAGTGGGGAAACTGCTGATCCCGACGTGCCTGGGTGTGTTTTTGGGGATGCACAGTCCAGGATGTCTGATGGATGGATGGAGATAAGGAGGGCACTGATGAGAGACAGGATTTATAGATTAAATATAAATATAAATGTGTGTATATATATATATATATATGTGTGTAAATATAAAAAATAGCTAATATATATTTATAATTATAT